TGTTTATTGAATAAGTATATTGTAATGTATAAGTAATTATTATTTATAAATAAATTAATAAAATATGATGTCTTGACATATAGCAGATACAGCTTCCTCTCCTATTTTTTTCTTACTATTATATCCTAAGCATATACCATATCATTCCATTCAGAAGTATCTTTAACACTATGCAACATTCTATGGAAGGGCTATAATATATTTACTTCCCCCACTGTTGACTTTATATCTATTTTATAAGCAGTTCAGTGTTGAATATATTTATAGATATGTGAAAGTTTTCATTCTTTCCACTGAGTAGATTTTCCTATGCTGACTAATTTTTTAAAAGATGATCATCAGCCCCATTGTTTTTCCCAAAAGCTGGTCAAACTTTCCTGGATAAGCGTAGTGATAAATGTCTTTGTTATTGTCACTAAGTCACCAGGCTGTGAAGACCTCTCCACCAACTGTAAATTCCCCTCCTCTCCTAGTCCCGAAACTAAAATAAAGCCATACCTTTTCATTGAATGAGGTGAAGATGAACTGTCTTTTTAATGCCTTTCTGAGAAGCAGAAAGTTGAAAGGCAGTTCTGCTTCTCTGCAGTTTCACTGGAACCCAGAACCCAGCCAGCTGGACTACCAGCTCCGTGAAAGCAAGAGGCCAGTCTGGTTGGTCCCGGTGGATGCTGTGTGTGGATCCTAGCACCTCACACAGATCTCCAAGAATAAAACAAATTGAAAGTACATTATGTATGCATATAGTGCTTCCGGTTTTGAGTAATTCTCACATGCTTCTTTATATCTGGTCAATCCATGTAGCTGATGGCAGAGGTGGAAATGGTCACGTGAGCAGAGGGTATCATCCGTCTCACCCCATTTTGTTTCTAACATGTATTTTCTTTTAATGTTTATTTGTTTATTTTTGAGAGAGAGAAAGAGTGTGAGCAGGGGAGGGATAGAGAGAAAGGGAGACACAGGATCTGAAGCAGGCTCCAGGCTCCGAGCTGTCAGCACAGAGCCCGACGTGGGGCTCGAACTCACACCGTGAGATCATGACCTGAGCCAAAGTTGGACGCTCAACCGACTGAGCCACCCAGGCTCCCCATCTAACATGTATTTTTTTCTAACTGCAATTGTATTTATCAAGTAAACTTCCCAACTCTAGTTTTATAACGGAAATCTAACCCAAATGAGATGCTAACCCCAAACCTATTAGGGTTAGGATTCTAATATGAGCTCTGACACATTCACCACCCACTCCAAACCCAGTACAAGGAGAATCAAATCTTCAGTAGGCTCTGCTTTATTTAATTCATATGTTACACGATCAATCAAAGACATCAGCGGTGTTATGTTAGATTATTTTTGTGTGTTTGCCATTAGACAGCAATTTATTGCCTTAAGATGAAAGTCTCATCTGATTGCAGACTAATCATGGTGGTGCAGACTAATCAAGCCTAAAATAAAAGGCTGATGCATTTTAGAAAATGTTTTTTTAGATTATCTATCTCTTTGATAATAATATGACTAGGAAAAGCAAATAACTTAAAAACAATCAATGAAGAAAGCATTTTCATTTTATTTTATTTTTATAACCAATTGTGGTAAATTCTCTGACTCTGAGATGGGTTTGGTGACTTGCCCATAGTCACAGAGCCTAGAAAATGGGAAGCCAGAGGTCACCCCCAGGTCCTCTGAGGCTGTCTGGTTTACACTCCCACAGCTCTCAGCAGCCTCCAGGTTTGGAATTTGGTCACTTCTACTAACTATAGAATTGATGATTCACAAGACTGACATTGGTGAAGATAATGACATTTAGTCATTTAGTGTTGGTATGTCTTATTATACTATACTTCCTGACCCTTTTAAACAACTTTTCTGTTTTTATAACCTTTCCATGGGCAGATTTTGGAGTTTGACTTGAGGGGTATACCACTCGACTCTTCATCTTCCCTTACAATTGTTGTAAAAGATTTTGAGACGATTGGACAAAATAAGTAAGTTGATTTCAACTATTTTTCTCATTTTATGTATTATATTACCATTGTTTATTTTGTTGAAGGAACGTATCGTTAATAACATTTTATGATATTTGCAATATAATCGTGCTTCAGTTCCGTGTCCTTCCCCCACCCCCCATGCACACAACTTTCTGAGCCAATATCAGATGTGATTAATGATCACATTGCTTTCCCCAAACTTCTGTATAGTAGTCCCCTCTTACCTGTGGTTTCTGTTATCCATGGTCAACTGAGGTGCAGAAGCAGATGATCCTTCTTCTGAAATAGTGTCAGAAGGTCAATAGTAGCTTAACGCTACGTCACTGTGCCTACATCATTCACCTCACTTCATCTCATCACTTAGGCATTTTATCATTTCACATCATCATGCATAAAAGGGTGAGTACAGTACAATATATTTAGAGAGGGAGAGACACCATATTCACATAACTCATTCAGTATGTTGTTATAATTATTCTATTTTATTATTAGTTATTGTTAATTTCTTACTATGTCTAGTTTATAAATTAAACTTTATCATAGGTATGTATGTATGTATGTAGGGTTTGGTACTATCTGCGGTTTTGGGCATCCACCAGGGGTCTTGGCACATATCCTAATGCATAAAGGGGGAACTACTGTATTCCTAAGAGGCTGCAAACACTAAGCCACCATTACTGTATCCAATTTGGCACTTGTTGTGAAATCTAGTTACATTCCTAAAACATCTTTGTTGACTGTACTTAGTCACTTCCTACCCTGGGGTGGTTTATCTGAACGGTAGCTATATTAAACACAAGCAAAATCATTTCTTCTTCCACTTATGTGTGACCATTCAAGTTCTACTTGCAGCCCCACTTTCATTTTAATGTTTTATTGGCCTTTTAAACTCAACAGATCTAAGTCAGATTCCTGTCGCCTTTACTAGTTTCAAATGGGAAGGGTCACGATGGTGCCCATGGTGGTGGGACTGAGGGTTGTCCCCTGAGTAAAGCTTGGGGATTTCCAAAACAGGTCTGTATGGGACAGAATGACCTCAGTAAATTCACCCCAGCCCTTGATCTGGACTTTGGCCTTACAGACTCAGAAACCAGTCTTAGGTTACCAATTCAAACTAACCAAGCTTACAAGAAACCAGTGCTTAAAACCAAGTTACTTATGTGTTATTTTCCAGTGGAAATAAATGCGTGGTGGGAGGACATTCTCTGATTAATGAATTCACCTTTGTGTCATCCTGCATGGAAAGCCAATTTACTCTGTATCCTTGATTATAAGATATCATTGACCACAGATGTATTATTAAATTAATAACAGGTTTGGGGTGGGGAAGGAGCCTGGTATTAAATGACCTTATCAATTGTAAGAAGCATCCAAGTTTTTAGAAATGTCAATACATTTAAAAATATGTCTTAGGGGTGCCTGGGTGGCTCAGTCAGTTAAGTGTCCAACTTTTGGTTTTGGCTCAGGTTGGTTTTGGCTCAGGTCATTATCTCATGGTTTGTGGGATTGAGCCCTGCATTAGGCTCTGTGCTGACGGCATAGAGCCTGTTTGGGATTCTCTCTCTCCCTCTCTCTGTCTCTCTGCCCCTCCCCTATTCGTACTCGCTCCCATGCACTCAATCTCTCTCTCAAAATAAACTTAAAATAAAATAAAATTTTAAAAATAATAAAAATGAATACCTTAGCCTTAAGCACATTTGGTTTAAGTAGAAGGCTGCAATGAGAGGCATAAACCAGAAAGAATTAGTTGAAATGCAGTGACCTTATGTCCTGACTTGCTTGGAACAGTCCTTGTTTATTGTCCTAGCACAAGGGTTAATAACACCTCTTTTGCTGTCAACAGTGACTTGGTTTGGACGGTAAATTAGATAGTCACCCTAATGACTGGAGTCTTCTACTTAATGGTGTCAGGCTAAGAGATCCTGGACAGACATTTACCCCCTGGACAGTGCTTTGATAGGTACTATACATGTTCACCTTTGATGAGATCCTTTTTTTCATGTTCAGTTGCTGACCAATGCCCCTTATGACTGATGCATTTTTTTCTTAAGCTACATAAATACACTCTGCAGGTTCTGGTCCTACTACTTGGACTGATCTGAGTGTCTGTTTTTGTGCCAGTACCATACTGTCTTGATGATTACAGCTTTGTAATACAGCTTGAAGTCTGGAATTGTGATGCCTCCAGCTTTGGTTTTCTTTTTCGAGATTGCTTTGGCTATTCAGGGTCTTTTCTGATTCCATACAAATTTTAGGATTGTTTGTTCTAGCTCTGTGAAGAATGCTCGTGTTATTTTGATAGGAATTGCCAGGAAGGTCTTTTTAATTGGGAGGTTAGTTGTGTGTCCTACAAATTTCGCTGCATAGCTGTTGACCATCCTCCAGTGAAAGCCGACCCCGAGTCTGCTTTGGAATGAACAGTGCGAATGATAATGCTTACTTAGCTTACTGTGCTAAGCTTCATGCTTCTCCACCATCAGCCAGGAATTGTGAACTTTGACCTTGCTGTCACCAACTAAACAATGCATACACCTTGGTCAAATTTGCCCGTAAGTACACTGGAGAGAAAAAAAAAATTAAACCCATCTGGGAATAAGCTGTATGTTTGTCCAAACTATTTGTGTACTTTGGTCCCAGATTTTTTTCTTGGCTTTTTTACTAAAAATTTGGCCTTCGGGGATCTGCTCACTGCTCAGTGTGGGAACTTGCTTTCACTTGGTTGTGCGGGTGGGGGCAGAGGATTTTTCTACCAGCTTAAGGAATCCCTTGCCTGTTGACGTTCCTGTTGCCATGGAAACGGGTTGTGCAAACAGGGCTCTCACTTTGCATCTGCTGCCTGGGGCCTGGAAACAAACAGCGCTGGACTGCCTAGGTTTGCCTGTGCACCCGTGCCCACACCCACAGCGGACTGCAGGGTCCAGGTCATGCAAGCATAGCACTGGTGCGTCAGCAACATCCCTCCTCAGGCACTGGGAGCCGGCTGGGCTGTTCAGTGCAGACTCTGTTCTTCCCCCCCCCGCCCCCCCCCAGTCATCCAGCCAGCCATCCAGGCTGAATGAGGGTGAGAGAAGAGCCAGAAATGCCTCTTGATCACGTGATGAAAATGAAATTATTTTTAGCTGAAATGTCAGAGTGGAAGGATTTTCCCAGCCCCTGAAGAATCGGAGTTCCCTCTGCAGACAGCCAATACCGCTATAGCTTAGTGAGGTCTTAGGGAGTGCCAAGGGCTATGCCAAGCCCTTTGAGTGCATTATGCTACTTAATCCTCACAGACACCCTCTTTTTCCCCAGAGAGGCTTGGTAATCTGCTCAAGGTTATACAGCAGGCATGTGTCAGAGTGAGCATTTATGTCCAGAGTGAGCACTTATGTCCAGGTAATCTGCTCAAGGTCACACAGCAGGCATGTGTCAGAGTGAGCATTATGTCCAGCATTTGTGTTCTGGACTTTCACATTATACTGAAAACCGTGAACCACCTGCAGGAACCAAAATGAGGATGCAATTATTGATTAACTTTTGTCCAGAATGGAAGTAATTTTTCTTTCTAATTTTGCAAAAAAAAAAAAAAAATGAAGGACAGTCATTATCAGAATATTGGCAGTCCCTCCCTATGTAACACTTTTAAGCAGGCAATTTTATACTATTGAATAGTAAGTCACTGATACTCATGTTCTACAGTGGACACGAGAAATTTGGAGAGCATATCTCATCTCATGTGCTCTTCACAGTAACCTTGAGTGGTGGAGATGAGATTTGAGGCTGGGACCCTGATCCCTTGGCGTCCTGGCCCTGCTGTCACTTCACCTGAGTTCCTAAAGAAGAATCGGCTTCAGGAGCCTGGAAATGTAAGAATGAAAGGTGTTTACAGGTTTTCAGGTGTGTGCGTGTGTGTGTGTGTGTGTGCGCGTGTGTGTTTGTGTGTGCGCATGCACGCATGCCAAGGAGGAAAAAGAGTTACCATTTTAGGCTTTTGAATTTGCTGTTCACTCTGCATGGAATACTCTTTCCTTCTAACTGCAGTAGATATGAAACCTTGTCATTCGGCCTCAGCATCTCAGACCCTCCAATCTAGAGCAGCGCCTACCATTGCTTTCCCATTGCCCTGCTTCATTTCCTCAGAGCCCTGCTTATTAGCAAGCTTGTGTGGGTGTGGGAATGGTGGAGGGAGCCCAGCTGGGTGTGTGGACATTTATGTTGGGTTTTAGATAAGTACTCAAAAATATGTGCTGGCCCGCATTCCTGCTTTGCCTAGCTCAGCGCTCACCACCATCTGACACGTCCATATCTGTTTTGTTATTCACGCGGCCTTCCCCTACTAGACAGTAAGCTCCACACCTGTCTGGTTCACCACTGTAACACCAGCGCTTAGCATAGTGCCTAGCACATAATAAGCTCTCAGTAAGTGTTTGTTGGATGAATGAGCAAGTAAGTTCACGATACTAATACACGAATAGTATCTAAAGCGCCTTGCATTGGACAGTTAGCCCACTAGTAACGAGCCATTGATGTGGAATCTGTCCAACCCAGCTCTCTGAACAGCTCTCTGGTTCCAACTCGGGTTTAAGCTGCAAAGGAGTCAGAACACAAAGGGATCAAGTCACAAGGGAAACAAACGCCAGTCCCAAAGCTCATGCCTTTTTGTAGAGAGACGTGGAGCTTACTCCTGAATTCACAGGAAGGTAGCAACTCATAGTGCATAAAAGCTGAGATTCGGGAGCCAGACAGAGGCTGCTTTGAGACTCCGCTCTACTGGTGACTACTGATGACCTCAACCAAGTGACTTAACCCCTCTGGGCCTCAGAAGTCTTATCCTTAAAGTGACCATAGTTTGGAAGTTCTGCTCGTGCTAAGATAACATAACAGGGACCAGATCTACATACTCACCTGATACACCAAAAAAATAGATAAAACATATGTAACCATGGTTTCAGATACTGGACTGGATAATGACCCCAAGCAAGAGGACATAAATGAAATGAGCCCTTTGAGTGCCCAACTTAATGCCTGGAGAGCATTCCAGCTGCAGTTCAGGGAGAGAGAAGTGAGGCAAGTCCCAGTTGTCTTCCAGAGTTGGGGAGGTGCAGGTGGGAGTCTGGAGCTACACACACACACACACACACACACACACACACACACACACACAGAGTGGTAGTATGGGCTACAGAATTTAGAAAAAAAAAAAAGACAAGTTTGGATTGTGATAATAACAAACTCCCTGAACAAAGGTTTGTGGGGTGTTTTTTTTCTGTTTTGTTTTTTGTTTTTGTTTTATATTAATAAAAACAGATACTGTAGTTTGGAATGAAATTAATATGGTGAAGCAGTATGGTAAGGCTTATGAGAAATTTTCATTCCCTCATATACAAAAGACCTTGTCCTCATACTTTTAATACTTAAAAAAATTTTTTTTAATGTTTATTTTTGAGAGAGACAGAGACAGAATGCGAGTGGGTTAGGGGCAGAGAGAGAGGGAGACACAGAATCTGAAACAGGCTCCAGGCTCTGAGCTGTCAGCACAGAGCCCGATGCGGGGCTCGAACCCACGGACGGTGAGATCATGACCTGAGCCGAAGTCGGATGGCCAACCGACTGAGCCACCCAGGCACCCCTAAGATATTTCATTATAAAACAGACCTGAAAACAAACCTTTAAACAAAAACCCTACCTAAACCAGCACACAAATATTTATACACACGTACACATATACACACACTCTGCCTCTCTCTCTCTCATCTTGTCATTTTCTCCTCTCTTCCCCTTCAATCTTCATCACACTAAACACCATCTGATACACTGCACATTCCGTCCACTCAGATGTAAGCCCCATGAAAGGCATGGAGTACTCCCAGTGCCCGGAGCAGTGTCGGACACACATAAGCATCAGCAATTATTTGTCAGATGAATACATTAATTGATACATCGCTGAAGGTAGTCCAATAACCTTGCAAATGACTTACAAGTTGTAAAGCTTCCTCTCCTAAGAGATGGTCCTCCAAGTGCAATTAGAAGATAGTTATAGCTCTTGTCATTATGAAATGCCTTTCTCTTTCAATCTCTCTGGGCGTCTTTCTCCAAAGCTTTGGCCCACCTTTACTTACTTACTCATGAGATGTTGACAGACATCAGCAGGACTGTGGCACCTTCTTCACTGGCCTCCCCAAAACGCTGGGGTTCAGCTTTTTGAAGTCAGTACCCAGACCAAGCCAGCCCAAACCAATTGTGATCTTTTCATACTTTTGCCACGCCACTGAAAATATGGAACTAAAAAGAACTGAACTGAGAATCCTGTTCCACAGTAACACTGGCCTCTGGTTTAGATGTCTACACAGCCTGAGAAGCTACTCCAATCAGAAAGCCTTGGGGCACCTGGGTGGCTCAGTCGGTTAAGGTTAAGCATCTGACTCACTCTTGATTTTGCCTCAGGTCATGATTTCACTGTGTGATGGAACACAAGGGCTCTGTGCTGACAGCATGGAACCTGCTTGGGATTCTCTCTCTCTCTCTCTCTCTCTCTCTCTCTCTCTCTCTCCCTCTCTCTCTCTGCCCCTCCCCTGCTTGCTCCCTTGCATTCTCTCTCTCTCTCTCTCTCTCTCTCTCTCAAAATAAATAAATAAACTTTAAAAAAAAAAAAAAGAAAGCCTGCCTCAACCCGTGGGCTGTCCATCCCTCCCGACCAACCACATCTGGGCCACTTCAACAAATCCCATGGCCATGATTACATGTGGCAATGTCAGCAGGAAGTCTTGTCACTAGGAGACATAAAAGTATTAAAAGTATGGGGGCGCCTGGGTGGCTCAGTCGGTTGAGCGTCCGACTTCAGCTCAGGTCATGATCTCACAGCTCGTGGGTTCGAGCCCCACGTCAGGTTCTGTGCTGACAGCTCAGAGCCTGGAGCCTGCTGCGGATTCTGTGTCTCCCTCTCTCTCTCTGCCCCTCTCCTGCTCAAGCTCTGTCTCTGTCTCTCTCAAAAATAAATGAACATTCAAAAAAATTTTATAATGAAATATTTTATGAGACCTTTAAAACCTTTATTCAGTTTCCACTAATTGGATTTTATGAGAATTCAGCTATAGCTGAAGTTTGCTTCTGGTCTAACCCTGAAAATAAAAAATGATTTTCCAAGCAGACTTTTGGTATATACAGCATTGACGTTGGGGAGGGAGTTGTTTCATGTATGTAAGAGAAAGGACTGGTTTTAAGAACTTTGCACAATTGATTGCACAGAAATGGAAGTGGGTACCTACCCACTGGCTACCTACCCATATCCTTGCATAGATATCCCACCTTCCTGTGATTTAGACTGTGCATGAGTTCAGACCAGCTTTCCCTGCCAGTACTGGCCTGGGGTCACATGCTTTCTTTTGATTCCTTTTTCTAGAGTAGTGTCTGAAATAATAAAAAGTAACTGTTAAGGACTTACCACATCATCCTTTTGATCCTTACAATACTGTTAGGTAGTAGCTGTCATCACCCCATTTTACAGATGAGGAAACTGAGTCTCAGAGAAGTAAAACAACCTGTACCTGGCTTCTAGTACAAGGATGAGTCCGAATTAGTCAGCCCTGCCTAGCTCCAAATTCTTAATCACTGTTATTCTGTCTCCCTTTCCTTGTTAGGTCCAAGTTCTTGATGAATGAATGAAAGAATGAATGAATGAGTGAATAACAGAAAACTACTACCTTGATTCCAATGGGCCAGGGACAGAGCCAGAGCCTGGGAGTTGCTCTAAACTGTACAAGCAGACAACCACAGATTCAGACCCTTGAGGACTGAATGAACAGGAGAATTGGTCAGGCTACAGGTTATAGTCACTTATTCTAGAAATAATTATGGAGCATTGCCTGCATGTCAGGCATTAGGCTAGTTTGCCTGCTCCTTGTAGCCACAGGAGCTACTGATTCTGGCCTAGGTGCCTCACCTGCGCCTAGGTGCCTCACCTGCGCCTAGGTGCCTCACCTGCACCTAGGTGCAGAGGCCTGGGCTTCTACTCAGCTCCTTCCGTTGTTAAAGTGACGCCATTGGCCTCAGGGCAGTGGGGTTGGGAGGGACTGGAAAAAAGGGAGTTGTTGCTGGCCCTGAATCCTGCCAAACCTGCCACAGCCTCTAGACTAGGTGAGTGATTCTGAAACCCAGGAATGGAGTTCGCTAGAAGTACAGAGCACTGCCTTACCCTAGAGGGGCTGGTACACAGCCAAATTTGGGAACCACAGTTTGGGCCAGTGTTTCCACATTTGATAAACCGGACAAAGGCCCCAAGGCTCTCTGACAATCCTGGTGGCGAGTAAGGAGGAGAGGTCACAGGAAAGATACAGATAACGAGGCTGGCCGAGTGGTTTTAGTTGAGTTTTGCTTACTACTTTGTTCTATTAAATAATTGGATTCCTATGCTCATTTCTCAAATGTGAACTGTGTTATCCTATTGAATGTGCTTTTAAAAACTGCACATGTCTCCCTGTCTCCAGATCTAGCTTTGCCAGCTGTCTTTCCTACCTCCCCCCCCCCCCCCCGCCCCCCATCCCTCTACTTTTGCCCTGCTGCCACTGAGAATCACTGCTTTAGGCCATTGTTTCTCAGACTTCCTGGGTATAAGAATTAACTAA